CATCACCGCAGAGGAGCCAATCAGCTAGATGTTGCTGGGGCCGCTGTGAGCCAATCATCAGCCGGCAGCTGGAAGTTTGCTCGCAGCTGGAAGTTTGCTGGGGCCCCTTTGGCTGTGGCTCTCAACAGGTTTCTATCCCTCCTTGTCTCATTCCTTGAAACCCTGCCTCCCTCCTCCCATCTTCTTCCTCACAAGATCCCGTCCACAAATGCCTGGAGGTATTAGAGACAATTTTACCCTGCCCTACCACTACTTCTGAGGGATCCCTGCCCTCTTTTGACCTTGTCTGGTTCTCAGATAGTAGCTCCTTTATACATGAAGGGGTTAAAGTGGTGGGGTATGCTATCATTTCCCTCTCATTCATCATAAAGGCAAAACCTCTCCCACCCAATCCCACCAACCAACAAGCTGAACTCATAGCTGCCACAAGGGCATGCGAGGTAGCAGAGGGAAAAACCCTCTCCCTATATAATACGTCTTCCATATCCTGATCTCCCGCCCACGCAGCTATTTGGAAAGAAAAGGGGCTATTGACCACCAGGGACGGCAGTCATTAATTCCACACTTATTTCTGGCCTACTATGAGCCTCCAAGCTGCCTTCCCAACTGGGAATAATCCATTGCAAGGCCCACCAAACTGACTCCTCCCTTACTACTATGGGGAATTCCAAAGCCGATCAAGAGGCTCCATCAGTCGCCCTACAGAGCTTTACCTCCTCTCTGCTACTCTTTGTTACCACCAGGAATTGGCCCCCAAATCCCCAACAACTCTTCCAGTTTCTTCAGTCTCTATTCTAGTCCACAGAGTCTCACTACTTTCCTTCACTCCCTTTTCACCCTTTCCCCATGGGATAAGACCCTCTTACAACAGATCACTTCCGCTTGTCAGATCTGCCAGAGAACCAATACCAATACTCCATTAAAACCTAAACCTTTCCCTTCTCATCAGGCCCGCGGTCATACCCCAGCTGCAGACTGGCAGATTGATTTCACCAACATGCCCCAAGTAAAAAACATAAAATATCTTCTTGTATTGGTAGATACTTTTTCAAGATGGGTTGAAGCCTTTCCCACTTCTAACAAACAGGCCTCTATGGTAGTTGATCTATTGCTTACTCACATAAATCCCCCATTTCAGGATGCCCACTTCTATCCAATCAGACAATGGCCCAGAATTCACCTCACAGATAACCCAGGGACTGGCTCACGCGCTATCACTCTCTTGGCATTTCCATTGCCCTTACCGCCCCCAGGCTTCCAGAAAGGTTGAAAGGACCAATCGGTCCCTTAAAGAGACCCTCACCAAGCTCCACCATGGAATTAAGCCTGGACTGGGTAAAGGTGCTCCCCTTGGCTTTATTGCACATTAGGGCCTTGCCAAAGAAGCCTTCTAATCTCTCACCTTTCAAAGTCATATCCCCTTGTTTTTCCCAGATTGCCTACAGATGCCCTGCCCCTCCTCTTCCATCTACACTTTGAACTCTGGTGCTATCAATACTGGCTCCCTCCTGATCCCGGTCTCTCTCAAAACCCTACCTCCTTAACACCTGGTCAACTTGTTTACTATTGCCCACCAGGGGAAAAGCCCCCTTTAAAACTAAAATGGGAGGGTCCTGCTCAGGTGATTATGTGCACTCCCTTGGCAGCCAAACTCAAGCTGTCTAATAACCAACTTACTTCATGGATTCACATTTCCAGGCTTTATCTCAGCACTCCTACAACTTCATCAGAAGAGCCAAGGATCGTCACCTGTCATTGAGTACTCTTGTCAATGCTCCCCCTCATTTCTGGCCCTTCTTGGGTCCTCTCTTCACCCTATGTCTGAAGATTCAAGGCAAGTGACCCTAAGGGCCCCCTCCAGCCAGACCCCCCCCCACACTTGCTTGAATCTGGCTGGTAGTGGGACCATTGTGTGTTGTCCTTCTGACAAACCACTTTGGTGTCCAGAGCATAGTGACCCCTGAATAAGTGTGATCATAGGAGAGCACTTTACCAGTTGCCTTCTAGGCCTAAGGAGAAACGTGTTTTGTTTAGCCTCCCAGTTTTGTAAGAATTTCAAGTATCGGTATTTAAAGTTGAGGTGTTTCACATAAACCTGGAGAGATCTGACTGCTCTCAAAGGGAAATATGGTAACAATGGGCCATTGTCCTCCCTTGGCCGCCTTCGAGAAAGGCAAAGAGAGAACCAAGCTGGTACACCCAGGTAGGAGAAAGTTTGAAGAACACCCTTAATAGAGAGAGGAGGGAGCTAGATTGGACTAGGAATGAAGAGTGGAATTGAGGGTGTTAGGCACAGGACAGGGTGGTCTGCAGGTCATGCCAAACAAAGTTAGCTGCAGGATGACCTGGCTTCTCAAATCCTCTGAGTGGTTCTTTATCACCTGCTTGCTTCAAGCCCAAATGCCCAAGCCCCTGCTCAAGGTTGAACACTTAACCCCCCTTGTGCCAACAAGGCAGCTTGCAGACCCAGAGACCCCATTAGATTTGGGCTATAAAAACTCCCTGTGCCTGTTCCTTCCCTTTATCATAAAGTTTGTTCAGACTCAGGTGGGTAAAAAATTTCTAATCAAGCTTTTATCAGCTTCTCCTCAGGAATTACCAACTCCTGGCTACTGATGATACCTCCAGTTGAGACCTATGCCAAATGGACTGACATCATCATGGATCTGTGGTGGCAAGAAACCTTCGTTGATCTGGTTCCTGAAGTTATACCAGTCCTCTTTGCCCTCCTGTGGGGGCTCTTTATTTCCCTTCTCTCTGATTCTCCCATGCCGCCCCATCACAGCAGGAAGCAGCTAGAATGAGTCTATATCCACTCTCATTTAATAACAAAGAAGGGGGAGTGTTGGGAGTCACCCTGGCTCCAAAGACTAACTTCCCCATCCCCCAAGAAGAGCTGTTCAATGGTGAGCCCTGCTGGCTCACATGATTCTGCCATTCAATGGTGAGCCCTGCTGGCTCACCTGATCCTTACCCACCAATAAAAAAGCACCCCATGCCAACTGTCAAACCACCCTGGCTCCATAAATATGCACAGCTGTTCCTCAATAAACGGGCATTTTCTCCGATGGCAACCCTTGATCATTCTTTCAGTCTTGGTGGGAATGTGCACACCACATGGCACCCTGTGGTGGAGGAGGTGAGAAGCAGAGAAGACAGAGGGTTGGTGGTTTTTTTTTGCAGTACTGGGAATTGAGTCCAGGGCCTCAGGCATGCTAGCCAACTATTTATTCTACCATTGAGCCATGTCCCCCACTTTTGAAATTTTTAAAATTTCATTTTAAAAAAGCCTTTCGTTATTTGCCAAAATTGTCTTCATAATTTTGATCCATTTCCCTCCTGAGTAGCTGGGATCACAGGTGTATGCCACTGTGCCCAACTCAGAAAAACAGAATTTTAAAAGGATTCCAATACATTAGTAAACCCTATATTTTTGGCTGAAAATAAATTTTGCACTTTAAGTGAAAACATGACAAATTTTCTTGAGAGACATGAGAAGGAGCTTATTAATAAATGAAGAGCCAAGGTACTTTTGAGTATGGTGGACATTGGATTTTCCTCAAAACAATCTGGCATTCAATTACACTCTGATCAATATCCCACAGGGTTTCTTTGGGGGAACTTTACAATCTAATTATAATATTTATGTAGAAGGAAAAAGACCATGAATAGTGAGGGCAGCGACGGGGTGGGGAGTGAGAAGCCTTGTCTCAGTAGATACCAAACTCAATATGCTGCTCGTGTGGTTAGGTCAGGTGCCAGTGATTCAGGGATGCACTGTCTGACAGTGGAACACAGCAGGGTCCAGGGGGACCCATGTGGAAACCTCACGTTGTGGAGAGTGGTGATTTGAATCAGATCTTCTGACTCTCTCGTGGCTGTGTTTGCACTGGGAGCTGCCTGTGCATAGGTGCAACTCCAGATGCCCCAGTTGCTATGGTAACGTTGCCCTGAGAAGTCTCTGTGGCAAAGTACAGAGGTGTTATTAGTTGAGGCCTTAAGTTTAGCACCTTCTCCCAGGGATAGTGAATTCTGAGCAAACAAGATGGCCCTAACCTCTCGCCAGACCCGAGTCCTTCAGAACTTTACCTTTGATCATGAAACCTATACAATATAAACTTTCTGAAGTAGCTTCAGGTCAGCCAAGCCTCTCCAAGGCATGGCTTTCCCACTGGGATCCAGCTTTTTCTCCCTATGTGTGTTTGTGTTTTTCTTAATTCTTCATTGCCCATGTGTTTCTGGTATTTCTTTAGTCAACAGTCATGGCTCTAAGAGAGATGGGAGGTCATGGATCCAAAATGATCACCATGGATCATTTAGGAAAGGCCGCACCATTCCGTCAGTTGTGTTGATATAAGTGATGATGAAAATGGAAAGGCCAGGTGGTGGTGCACACTTGTGATCCCAGCAACTCAGGAGGTTGAGGCAGGAGGATCGCAAGTTTGAGGCCATCCTCAGCAATTTAATGAGGCCTTAAGCAACTTAGTAAGACCCTGTCTCAAAATAAAAAATAAAAAGGGCTGGGGATGTTGCTCAGTACTTGGCTCAATCCCCAATACTAAAAAAAAAAAGAAAAAGAAAAAAGAAAGAAAGAAAGAAAAGAAAATGGAAAACATAACTCCTTCCTTATACCTTTTACATAAAAATTATTTCTAGCTAAATTAAAGTTCTAAAACAAAACAGCAATTGATTAAGAACATAAAAAGTCCAAACTATGATAGCAATTAAAGTGTCTATTGAAGTTAAAATCAAAATGTCTGCACAAGGCACTATAAAAACTGAAAAGACAAACCATAAACTGGGAACTATTAACCAATATAAAATTAGTATCAAGAACACATGGTTTCCTAAGTAAGAAGAAAGACAAATCAACCAAGAAAATTGCCTAGTGGCTCTCTGTGGGGGAATGGAGAGAGATCCAAATAGAGGGGCCCTCAGGGCTGTGGTCTGTTGGGTGTTTATTGCTTAAGATGTGGTTTAGATACATGTAACTTGCTTTTGAGTTTTATAGGAGCTCACGTGAGTCTCAGAGGAGACTTTGTGCTTGGGCTTTGGGGCATGCTAGAACTGTTATGACCATGGGAACTCTTGGAGATGGGACTACATGCATTTTTTTATGGTGAGATAAATATGCGTTTTGGGGGACCAAGGGTAGAATATTGTGGTTTGCATGTGAGGTGTCCCCTCAAAGCTTCTGTGTTAATGCAGGAATATTTGGAGGTGAAATGACTGGATTGTGAGAGCTGTAACCCAATTGGTCCAACCTAGTTTGAATTGACTGGCTGAGTGGTAACTGTAGGCAGGTGGGACAAGGCTGAAGGAGGTATGCCCTGGAAGGAGCATTTTCCCTGTGACCCCTTGCCCTGTCTCTACTTGTGGGCTACCATAAGGAGGGCAGCTCTCCTTCTCAGCCCTTCTGCATGATGCTCCACCTCACTTGGGCCCAGAGCATTGGATTCAGCTGACCAAGGGCTGAACTTCTGAAACCACATATCAGAGGAAACTTTTCCTCCTGTAAGTTGGTTTCCTAAGTAAGAAGAAAGACAAATCTACCAAGAAAATAGCCTAATGGCATTTTGGAGACAGTGAAAGAAGACCGACCAACACTATCATAATCCCATTCCTGAGGGCTCCCTCATTTCCCAGTGGTCCCACTTCTTAATACCTTCACCTTGGGGATTTGTTTTAGCATATGAAAATGTAAGTTGTATGAGTCATATTGGGTTGCCATAACAAAGTACCCCAAATTGGGTGGCCTAAAATGCCATGCCCTTTCACCATGATGTTCTGCCTCACTTCACATCCAAAGGAATGGAGTTAGCCAACCATGGACTGAGAACTCCAAAATCATAAGCCAAAATAAATCTTCCCTCCACAACATTGTTTTTCTTAGGTATTTGTCATAGCAACAAAAAGCTGAATATCCACAAAAACAGTTAATCGCAAGTGTGGGTGAGGGAGTGGGAAACTTGAACCCTTAAATAGTGCTGCAGAGAATGTAAAGTGTGTAGAAACTTTGGAAAAGTCTGTCAGATCCTCTAAACTTCAAACACATCTGGGCCCAGTGATGCATGCCTGTAATACCAGCCGCTCAGGATGACAAGGCAAAAGGACTGCAAGATCAAGACCAGTCTGGGCAACTTAGTGAGACCCTCAGCAGCTTAGTGAAGCCCTGTCTGAAAATATAAAATAAAAAGGGCTGGGGGTGTGGGTTAGTGGTAAAGAACCTCGGGTTCAACCCCACAAGAAGTCAAACAGAGTTACCATAGACCCTGCAATTGTCTCCCTAGAGGAATATTCGTAAAAGCACTATTCAAAATAGCCCCAAAGTGGAAATACCAAAGATACGTACTCATTGATGAACTAACAATGTTTTATACCCACTCAATGGATTATGATTTAGCCACACAGAGTGAAGTGCCTTGTGAGACCTTGAAAATATCAACTCTGTGAAGGAGGTCATCACAAAATTCGCCCCGTGTCTGATGAAATGCCTGGAACAGCAAGGTCTGCAGGACAGAAAAGAGGTGAGTGGTTGCCAGGGGCTGGAGAGGGCGGGGAGGATCAGAGTCACTACTTAGGGTTGCTTTGGGGGTGACACAAATGTTCTGAAATTGGCAGGAGTGATGGAAGCACAACTCCGAAGGTACTAGAAATCACTGGAATGACTCACCCGGGTACAAGATTTTATCTGAGGTATAACAGCTCAGTGAGGCTGGAGGAAGAGAGCGACCCCGCAGCGGGTCATAGATCATGTGAGCTGACATGATAAAATACAGATGGCGGGCTCACTTATCATCATGAAAACATACTTCCCCCGTTCTGCAGTTGGGAAGACCAAGATGACCCCTCATGGCTTCTGTTTCTGGAGAGGGCTGCTCTCTGTTTCCAGTGCTGCGCTTTGAGTGCAGCATCCTCTGGAGGGGATGGACCGAGTGTCCCCACATGATAGAAGGGACAGACCTGCCCCCAAGGCCCCTTGGTAAGGCACCAACCTGTTCAAGGAGCAGAGCTCTCATGGCCTAGTCATCTCCTGGATGAGTTCGTACTGCTGCACTGGGGGCCATTTCCAACAGGAATTTTGGAGTGGTCACAGATGTTCAAATCCTAACATGATACAAGAAAAAAAGAATTTAAAAAGGAATTACAATGTGGATCGAGGACTAACAATTTCAGCAAGTATGTCACAACATAATGGTGAAAGTTAAATGGAACTCCTGATGTGGCTCTGAGCCTTTCAGAAACAATGTCTTTTTGCACTCTTCACCTCTGTCCTATGAGCAGTGGTATCCAGGAGTGCGGAGCAGTTCCTAGACTTTAGGCTTTAATTCAGCTGTCTTTGGAAAATTACTGTTATCTTGGTTGGTAGAACAGGAAATCAAGGTGAGCCTGGGGTTCCTGCTGCCTGGGAGCAGGGATCCTTCAAAAGATGGATGTTAGTGGGATTCAGGAGACAGCCACAAGGAGCTTCCACTGCCTGAGCTTGAAGAGATAATAGTGACAGTTCATTAAGGCACTTTAGGCTGTGACAAAGCCATGAATCCACAATGATAATCAAATAAAACAAAGTTTTCTCTTTAATTTTCATATATCTAGCATTTTATTCAGGTTAATTTTATGAGAAAATTTTTGTTCATGTTTGAATGTATATAATGTATGTTTTTAAGATGGGTGAAAACCAGTTTAAGTGCAAGTATTAGTTAACACAGGCACCGTCACCAAAAGATGTGAAAAGAATTTCATCCCTATTGTCTGCTCAGAATATTGACACACTTGACATGCTGAGTGTGAAGGAAGTGTGCAAATCTCAGAGAACCGGTAACAATCATAAGCTGGGAAAGAAGGGACACCCAAGAGGGCAGAAGAAAGAAGCAGGCTGAGATGTACCTTGGGGCAGATTTCTGGTCCCACTGGGACAGGGCTGGGCTTCTGGGAAACTGAAGCAGTGCAATGGCTTCCCCTTCAAACCCTGACTCTTGTTATCAAGTCAAAAAGATTTGATACGAGGCTCAGAGTAGAAGGGTTGGGAAAAGAGGACACTCTCAAGGGAGAGAGTGAGTGCTCTCAGAGGGGTGAGGGGCTGCATGCCTCTCCTACCCTCTACTTTTATTGGGAGCCCAGGGGAATTTTCAGAGTCCCACCCAACCCCACCTTCTGACTTTTGACTGACAGCAAAATCCAACAGATCATGGTGTGGTGCTCATAGTGTAGAAGGTTTTATGGAAACTGAATACTCCTGTTTTTGCCTACCCCCTTAACTTACTCATTACCTTTGAATAGATCAGGAATTATGAGGGTCTTGATGTTTGGCTAATAGGGCAATTGGAGAGTGATAAGGTAGGGTTCTGGGGACTTGGTTACAAGAGAAAATGATGACATGGTCCAGAAATGGTAATTTTTCTTAAGGCAGGCAGGCATAGGTTTTAACATACAAGGACCCCCATAGGTGCTTATCTGTCAGATAAGGCTCCCTGTGGCTTTCAGTGGTCTCTTATTGTCCTTACTTGCTCACCCACTCATGATTGAGTAGCTACCTTGTGGGATTCTCTGAGACAGGGCACTGGGTGTTCAGCAGGAAGCAGTGTTTACTAGTGCCAGTGGATTTGTATCCAAAAGCTGAGGACTCTTTGTTAGTTCCTCTTTTACTTGCCAGCTCTTTGTCTCCCATATAAGGTCATACACAGTCTGACTGGCATTCTATTTTTACGCAACAGTGTTTCTTTTAAAAAACTTTTTCATACGTGAATGTAATATAACTTTTCATTCTTCTGGTTGTACATGATGTAGAGTTACTCAGGTAGTGCAATCATATATGCATATAGGGTATGATTAATTCTACTCATTCCTACCCCCATACTCCCATCCTTGTCTAATCCTAAGTGCTTCTATTTGTCCCTAGCCAACCCCTCTTATTATAAATTATTATCTGCATATCAGAGACAATATTCAGTCTCTGGTTCTTCAGGACTGGCTTACTTCGGTTTAGCATAATAAATCAGTTCCACCCATTTACTGGTAAATGCCATAATTTCATTCTTCTTTATGGATGAGGAAAATTCCAATATGTATATACACCACAATTCCTTCATCTGTTCATCTGTTGAGGGCCCCTAGGTTGGTTCCATAGTTTAGCTATTGTGAATTGAGCTTGTGGAGTGTGCACATTGATACTGAGGGTGTATATCTTCTTTGTTCTGAGAAAGTCCCTACCACTGATAAACCCAACCTGATCTTTTATTAAATTGGGAGCCCTCTCACCACAAAGCCATGAAAAGCTAATTTCGGCTTTACTATAAATTACTGCAAATTCTGAACCTGCTTGGAATGCCTGCCCGTGCCTTGAACTCACCCATGCCTGGCTCTCTGACCAGATAGCAGCCCTCTCTGAAACTTTAGTGACACCTCATAAATATTGGCCTTCCCTGGCCAGACAACGACCCTCTCTGAGGCTCTAATGGTCTTCATAAATTCTGATGTTGGAGCCAGCAAAAAATGTAAACTACCATTAGTGTGATGCTTGTCAGAGTCCTGTTATCTGTAACCCCCCTTTTGTGTAACTTTCTGGGCTATAAAGCTGGGCTGTAGGAAAGCTGGGGCTGCTGTCTTGTTCCTGCCGTTTTGGGAGGAAAAGGCAGTCCGGCTGGTCGAAATAATAAGCTTGCTTTAATTTGATTTTAATTGGAGTCAGTGGTCTTTTCTTGCGTCCTGGTCTAACAACCACAACCTAATACAGCCAAGGAGTACACTACTGCTGTGGGGCCTGAAAACTCTTCCCTGGGCTTCCAGAATTGCTTTGCATAGGGATTCTGCGCTTCCACTCCCTGCCTTTCTCCACGTGAGTATGACTGTGGTTATCCTTCACCATAGTGAGGTCAGCAGCGACGTGTGGAGGACCATCTTCTTGGTCTGTTAAGTCTTGGGACGTGGAGGACCTGCCTCAGAGGAGCCACAGACAACCTAGGAGGGACCACGCCATTTCCGACTTTGGGCTTCATGCTGGCATCTCGGGACACTGGGAAATAGCGGTTCATTCTTAAAACATCACTTCCAGTTTTAAGTCGTCGAGTTTAAGGCGTCTTTGGCTGGTTTTCGACTGTGGAAGGGGGAGTGCCTTCGAATCCATGGCGACACCCACACCCGCGGCCCCAGCCCGGGCGCTGGCACTAACTCGAACCAGCACCAAGTAGGTACCGGGCTCCCATCAAAGGTCCAGAATCGCCCTGTCGGTCTGGAGGAAAACCCAGAACGCAGCAGGTCGGGCCAGCTGCGCGGAGCAGGGCGCGGGCTCATCGCCACGGGGAAGAGACCGCACCTACTGCGCACGCTCAAGGACGGGCGCTCGGGGATTACGTCAGCTCGCGGCGTCTGCGCGTGATGTAACCGGCCGGCGCCGGTAGAAAGGAGCGCCCTGCGGCACACGTGGGTGGCGGAGCGGCGGGCGGGCACATGGCGAGTTGCGCGGCGCTGGCGGTGTGCGGGCAGGCGCTGGTGGTGCGGGGTGGCAGCCGGTTCCTGGCCGTCTCCACTGCGAGCAGGTGAGGGAGTGGGCGGGCAGTGCGGGCGCGGCGGCCCTGGACACCCTACTTCCCGGCCTCCGTGGGTGCGTCCGCGGGGGTGACTCCAGGAGCCCTGCCGCGGCCCGCGAGCCCACCGCAAGCCGACGTGGAGCCGCGAGCGCCGGGCGGCGTCGGACCTCGCGCACGTCTGTTTCCGGGTTCTGCTGCGGCTGCGCGGCCAGAGGGCGGGCCGGCCCGGGTCACGTGGGCATGCGCTCCCGGGGCTTTAGTGCTCTGGTTCGGGTCTCCAGTGTCCTTTCCCGGGTGCGTTTGATTCTTTTATACTTGAAACGGACAGCCTGTCTGTAAAGTGTACGCTCTGCAGTTCGATGCCACATTTAGACTGCGCAAAAAGTTTGCGCACGAACCTGTGTCGTGTTCCAGTTAGTTTGGGGCTCAAAGCCCCAAACACATGACATTGTGAACCGACGGTGTGCTAGACACGACCCGCTGCTTGCCTTTGGAGGAATCTTATTGACTGGCAGAGTTTTCGACTTTGAAGACAGTTTCTCTGTCTGCAGCAATGCAGTGTTCCATGAAAAAATCGTTTGGGTGCTGTCACTTTAAACGTTATCAGCATATACAAGATCCCTTCTGTGTGCGGGGAGTGGGGGTGGGACCCAAGAAAGCTCAGGGTCTGGTAGGGAAGATGGGTGATTTCTATATTGGTAGGTGCTTCGGAGGCACTGCAGCTTTTTTCCGGTAGGAGACATTTTTCTGAACAAGTAATGGCTATTTTACATTTGGGTGCAAAATCACACTGAATAACTGCAGCATCAGAACACAATTCTTCCTTTAAAAATATTTATGTTTTAGTTGTAGTTGGACACAGTATCTTTATTTATCCACTTTTATGTGGTGCTGAGGATTGAACCCAGGGCCTCCCACATGCTATGCGAGTACTCTACCTACTGCTGAGCCACAACCCCAGTCCCACAATTTCTTCTTGTAATCACGTTTTGTTGATTTTCTAGTGCCTGAAAGAACAGTATATTAATTCTGGTTGAGTTTTTAACTTTAAGTGAATTGGTTGGTTTTCTTTGGTGAGAATCTTGTGGATTGTGTATGACATATCCAAACAGAAGGTTAAGCAAACAGAGCTCCTGAACTCTCTTGTGCTGTGTAGTACCAGTGCAGTTTTTTTTTCTCATTGATAAGACTCAGAATTTAATGAATATGCAAATGTACAAATTTTTTTGTTCCAAGGGTAAAAACACCTCAAACCCTGCATCTTTGTTAGAAGTGTTTATTATGGTTTTTTTTTTTTTTTTTTTTTAGTGATGATGACAGCCTCTTCACATATGATTGCAGTACGGCGGAAAAGAAGCCAGAAGAAAATAAAGGGTGAGGTGATGGGGAAGAGTGTTCAGGGCCTGATGGATTGAGTTGGGGGGGAACTGTTAGATGAAAAAGTAATTGTTGTCTTGCTGAATTCTTAACTTCTGTCACCTGATTTTGTGGATAAGCTTAAGTTTCACCTTAGGAAAGAAACATGGAATTAACTTTCAAATTAGGTATTAAGGAAATTTAATTAGTTTCTGTCAGTATTGGTTCCTATGAAATAATAGTTTGAAATCTGTAGAGGTCATGTGCAGGACATTAATGTCACCTAATTCAAAGATAAGGAAAGTAGAGTGTGCACTTGTTTTGCATGGTGGCTTTCTTTAGTTCACTCGGTCTTCTGGGTCAACTTGTCCTTAATTATTTTCAGTTTGATTTAACCGCTGTGTCTTGTCTTGGATTAGTCCATGTGCACGAGGGTGTGGGCTCTATGATCTGAGCGTCTTTCCAGTCCAGCTCTCTGGGTTCTAGCATGTTTGCTAAGAGACAGTCAAGTTAGTTAGATGTAACTATTGTGACCATACAGCATTTTTTAAAATTCTTCTCATGTCCCTTTAATACGTCTTTATGTTCTGACTACATGAACCACTTAACTATTAGCATTTTCTGCCTCTGCCTGTTTTATAAATTGGCAAGGCTAGCCATCCAGGAATGCAATCTTATTTTCCTTTATTAGCTAGGATTCTGTTGCTGTAACAAATACTTGGAATTAACAGTCTATAAGGAGAAAAGGTTTATTTTAGTTCACAGTTTTTTAGGTTCTAGCCTGAAAGCAGTTGGCCCTGTTGCTTTGGGCCTGTGCTGAGACAGCACTTTATGGCAGGAGCATATGGCAGAGCCAAACTATTCATGTAGTTGCCAGGAAGTGAAAGAGAGTAAGGAAGTGGCCAGGGTCCCACGTTCCCCTTAAAGGACATGCCCTCTGTTGATGTAAATACCTCCTACCTCTTTTTCTTCTTTTTGAGACAGGGCTTGCTGTGTTGCCCATACTAGCTTTGAACTTGAGCTGAAGCACCCCGTCTCAGCTCCCTGAGTACTGGGACTGTGGGCTTGTGCCACCATCCTGGCAAGATCCTGTCTCTAAGGGCTACCACTCCCAGTAGCACCATGGTGGGACCGTGCCTTTAGCACCTGCTCCTCGGGTACCCTCGCCCAAACCCCAGCAAGGCTGACTGCTTCTTCCTTTTTCCCAGGGAGGATGGCCGGCCCATGGATCAGGGGAGCGACATGATTCTAGCGTCCACCTTCTCCACGTCTGGCAGCTATTTTGCTTTAACTGATGACAGTAAGCGTCTGATTCTTTTCCGTACAAAACCATGGCAATGTCTGAGTGTCAGGTATGAAATGTTAACGTCGAATCATTAAGATGTCTTATTCACACCTTGTTCTTGCATGTCAGTAGCAATAGTGACAGTTACCATAGTAATAAGCACCCAAGATGGCGTCCCAGCTGTGGGTTAGACACTGATCCAGGGATATATGGTATTAACTGATAGGATCCTAGATTTCTGTGGGGTTGGCACCGTCTCGGTGGTGAGGAGTTGGCTGCTTTCGGGTCAGGAGGCTTGGCAGGGCTGTCTCTGCTGGGTCCTCCTGTGGCAGTGTTGCTGCCCCAGCTACTGTGCAATCCTACCTCCCACACAGTATTCCCCAGCCCTGTATCTGCTAGAGGCAAAGGCTTTCAGCCGGGTCAGGGCTTCAAGTGAGTCCTGCTAGGCACTTGGGGCTGGGTGGGTCCAGAGCGGTCTTTCTGTTTGCTGGAAGAGAGGAAGGGGCCAGTGCAGCCCGTCCTTCAGGCAGGAGTGCAGTGTGCTGCCGTGCGCTCTTGCCAAGCCACTCCGGGAGCACCTTGCCTAAGTGCAGCCGTGCCCCTTCTTCAAAGCGTCTTTGCCACTTGTGAGGGGGTGACCCTGCAGTGCTGTGAATCTGCTTCCCAAGCCACCACCATTGTTTGCTGCCACTGTGTCCTTGTGAGAGGAGGTGGATGTCACTGGTGCATGGGCAGATCTCTGACTTCTCCTGGTGTCTATTCTTGAGAGTGAGAGCTGTATCATTCTGCTTTTTCTGTGACTCACAAACACATGGACAGAGTCAGGCCTGGGCCCCTCCTTGTCCTCCATGAGACTCCCTTGAGAATCAGAGGTAAACACGTAGGTTGCCATGCTTCAGCTACTGAGGTTCAGGATTTCCCTTTGTAACTGGCTCATACCAAATTATTGGATTCAACGTTTTTAGATATTTATTTTATCTGATTTTCTAAGGTAAGAGTAAGAAGCCATATTCCAGGTGGCATCAAAAGCCAGAGTATTCACCCTGCCCTCTTTTCTTGTCAGATTAAAACTACAGGCCTGTTGAATATTGCTTCATTGTTAGTGTTCACAGTGTGTGTTTTTGTGTGGCAGATGCACATTTTTGTGAGTAGGTGTACATAATTTGGAAATTTAACAACATATCAAAATTAAACAAAAGGATACCCAGATATCCAGTGATGTGCCAGGGTCCCTCATCTCCCTTCCCACAGAGTGGCAGAGTGAAGTGTCTCCAGGCGAACACTGCGAACTGGCCGTGAGCCCCTCCCACGGGGCTCCTGCCGGCCTAGTGGGGCTTTGCAGCTGGCTGGTCTTGACTTTGGGTCTCTGACCACCTGTGGGGACCTGGGAGGCAAGGCAGAAGGTTGGTGTTCAGTCTGCTCGTGCTCCTTAGCAAGGTGACTCTCATCAGACAGCTGAAACCATGGACGTTTGTTCTCCGTCCTGGAAGCTGGAGTTGGAGATCAAGGTGTCTCAGGGTTGGTCCTTCCTGGATCCCCTGTCCTGGTTTGCACATAGCTTCTTCCTGTGTCCTCACGCGGTCATCTGTCCTGTGTGTTTCTGTGTTTTGAGCTCCTATAAGGAGGCAGTCAGGTTGGAACAGGGCTCAGTTGAATCTGTATGGCTCTGTAAAGGCCCTACTCAAACAGAAGCACATTCTGAGGTACTGGGTTGGTCAGGGCTTCAACCCAGGGGTGTGGGGGAAGGTTGAGCCCATAACAGTTGATCTTGTTTTCCTAATCCTGACTGCTAAGTTTATTTGTGACCCCTACGGAGTCTCCAAGGGGCTTTGGTCTCAAAAAGATATTATAAATGAGATGATCTGAACAAGCCAAGGGCAGTTCTTTGGCTATGTAAGGGAGACGCTGCCACCTAGTCCTTGTGATCATGCAGGCTGGACGTGCACTGGTCTGGGCTGGACCAGCTGTGGTTTGCTTCTGTATGTATTTTGGCACTGGGGCTTTCATGAACGAAGGGCCTGGTGCATGCCAAGCCTGTCTCAGCCAGTCTCCAGCCCCCAGTTTGATTTCAGGTGCTCCTGGGTGATGGCAGCACTGCCAGGCCACACTTTGAGCAGCAGGATGCTGTAGAGCTCAGATTGCCCCAACCCGCTGTCTCATAGACCTGGTGAATGGGCGAGCTATACCTAACTCCAGAGTCTAGAGTGCCGCTGGGGCCGGGGTGCAGGTTCAGCGCATTGCACTTGAGCATATTCAAGGCCCTGGGTTTGATTCCCAGCACCACACACAAGGAAGTGAGGAGCCCTGTTTGTGTTGGGAAACAGTTTTTTTCCTGGTGGTTTCAGTGAGTTTGCTGACAGAAGGTTTGTTGGGCCTTTCGGCAGTGCTGGCACGACGCAGGGTATGATATGCTGATAGCTGTGGGGACTGGATGGTGTCTTCAGTACACTTGCTTTGGTTGTTAAACTCAAAGGCCTGGCTTGAGAATTGGTGTGGATGTATGATTCTTGAGCTGCCCTGTGGTTAGCACTGTCTGGGACCCTAGCAACATGGTCTCCCGAGCCCTGAGCTGTGGTAAAGTTGTAGGCTTAATTGTGGAAGTGCAGAGTGAGTTCTTGATTCTGCCTGGCTCCCCTGGACTATAGGCTACCACATATTTTACCATGTTTTCCCTTTGATTTTGGTTCTTTCAGACAATTGGAAACCACAGAGAAGTGCAGGATGAGAACAGAAAGCGGTCCCCTTGAGCTCAGCATTGGTGGCGTCCCTGTGCAGGAACACTGGTGTGCTCCTCCTGTTTCTCTCAAGTGCGAGGCTTGCACATGGTGTGCTGCTGTGTTCAGCACTGGGTGGCTAGGGGCCCCTCTCTCCCCACACAGCCAAATGGGGATGTGTCTCCCCTGCTGTTGGACTATACTCTGTGATGAAAGAGCCAGCGCCTGGGCCCTGCAGGGATCGGGCCACTCTGGGAGTCTGGGTCCCTGCACCTGTGTTGGGACGAGGATTCTCGAGGGGGGTTCTGTGTGACTGTGGGCCTGATAAGATGGGATAATTCAGGGGCAGGACTCCTGCAGTGCCAGTTAGTCCCGCGGGCAGTGTGTGGATCTCATTAGTGACGAGAATGAGGCCAGTCCTTCTTCATGCTGTCTGCAGTTGTCTGTGGAGAGGTGCTTTGGGTCTGCTTTTTGAAGTTAGTATGTCGGTGATCCCTTAAAGACCTGATGAACTCCGAGGTGGGCAGTACTACCTTGGCAGAGCACACCAGTTGGCACCTGATCGTTTCTCCCTTTAATTACAGGTTTACTTCTGGTTTTAAACTGACACTGGTGGGTGACTTTGTGTATGTAGGCATGAGGTGGTGTGGAGGGCAGATGGTGTGATGGATGCAGTGGGGACAGTGGGTGGCAAAGCCCAAGCTCTGCTGTGGACATGGGGCAGGTGCTAGCACCTACCTGGGAGCTGGTGAGCCCTGGGTACCCTGTGCTGTGGCTTGGTGGCCTTGAGCCATTAAGGGCCTGGGGTCGCCCTCACATGGCCTCTTCTCTGGCATTCCCCTGAGCCCAACAGGAGGCACTTTGTCACCGTCTCTGGATGGAACTGTAGGGTGAATGGCCCTTTGGGGTGTGTGTGGTAGTGGACAGATGTGTAGTCATTGCCATCTTCCTCCTAAGACCTACTGGCAAATTCTTCAGCTTTCTTCTTTTTAGATTCCTTTAAAATTTGGTGTTTGTGAATTTCCAGTGCTGGGTCTTTACTCTCTCTTTGTGGGTCTAAGGAGAGATTTCTGGGGGCAAGGATGAGGATGGGAAGGGAGAGCAAGATGAGATGGTTTCATCAGATAGTGGGAGCTACTGTGCACTAAGACATGAGAGCGCAGAACCACATGCATGGAGTGAGCAGCTGACTGGTGTACGGGGGCCAGTCCAGTCACACTGAGGGGGGTCTGCCTAGTGACATTTTATTGGGAGCACAGACCCTTCTGATGGATCCCCTCCTCAAAAACGAATGTCCATCTTTTTTTTTTTTGGTGGTACTGAGTGCAAGTTGAATGTAACCTGTACATCCCTAACCCTTTCTATTTTATTTTGAGACAGCACCTAGCAAAGTCCCTCAGGTTGGCAGAGAACTTGCAATCCTCATGCTTCAGCTTCTTGAATAGCTGCTGCTGTGCCTGGTAAAAATGCCTATCTTTAATGTATTTGAAGTGCACTTTAATTTTTGGGGTTCCACACACCTGCAGTTTATGTGTAGTTGACTGGCTGTGGTCATATGCTGCTGGGGGCTCAATTGAGTTGGGACCAGACTATCACTCCCATGTTGGCATGCTGCTGCTTTCAGACTTAACATTAGGGGTGTTGAAGCCAAGCCAAGGTGGAAGTTGTGGGCAACAGTGGTTCTTCTTCAGGTGGCAATTTAGAGTGACAGGAGATCAGAGGACCTGGGACCTGGGCAGATCAGGAGACCCTCTCCTGCCCTGGAACTGAAGCCAAGGAATTGAAGATGAGGGCACCGGGTGACACATGGTACCTTCAATTTTGACATGCACATTTGCTTTTTACTTTTTTTGTCTTTTGTGTTTTATTTTTTAGTTATAGATGGACACAACATCTTTATTTTTACGTGGTGCTGAGTATCAAACCCAGTGCCTCACGCATGCTAGGCAAGAGTGCTCTACCTCTGAGCCACAACCCGAGCCCTCTTTTGTATTCTTTGATGTGCACTTATGAACATGAAATCACCTCATTCCAGAGAGTACCCATTAGAGAGTGATACTGGCACCCAGAGGGCAGAGCCCCAGGAAGTCAGAACTGGGTTTGCTCTGCCTGCAGGTGTTGGGATGGTGGGGAGTCTGGTGGCTGGGAATGTGAGTTTGGGGAACTGTGGCCAGTGTGGGTATGGCATCTGAAGCTCTCGGAGCCCTGGCAGGGCCTGGGATGGCAGCTCTGGAGATAGGCTCAGGGCAGTGCCAGTTCAGGCTGAGCCAGGTTAGCTCTGAGGGACCCTGCAGAGCCAAGCATTTGCTCTGTTGTGTAGGGCTCTAATAAGAATCCAGTGACTCTGTGGGTGGAAGGGGAAGTGCCCAAACCAGGCCCCGACAGGATGAGAAGGTTATTGGGGCCGCTGCCTCAGTTCTCTGGGGTCCTGGGAACTGGGATATTTAACAGTGGCGACATCTGTCCCATTGTGCCACCTAACTCCCTTGGAGTCTTAAGTCCACTCCCTGCAGCTGAGCTGCATCCTAGTCACTGTGGGGACAGACCTAACTGAGAGGCAGAGAGCTCCTAGCTGGCACAAGGCAGAGCATCCTGTGGAGCTGGGGGCTGCATCTGTGCTGCTGTCCTGGGGTGGAGACTCCTGGGAGGTGTGTTCTGGTGTCCAGGTAGGGCTTTGTTGGAGCTGCCTGCTTGGCTCCTTGTTCTCTGAGAGAGAATTTTGATTAATCCTGCCCCAGAGCCTAATTATCTTTCTGTTGTTCTTTGTTTCCTCTATGTTTACCCCGCCACACCCCCCTTCTGTGGCTCCCTTCTGGAGGCCCAGCTGCAGGGAGCCTGTTTTGCTGGAGTTGGAAGGGGGGGGCAGAGGGTGGTGGTGGGGGGCGGGGGGCTCAGCAGGGCGGGCTGTGATGAAGTGCAGGTGGAGCCTGCTGTGGAGAGCCGCCTGTGCTGTGGGGGGTGGAACCCCAGATGCCTTTCCTGGAGAGTGATGGGCATCTTGCTACTCAGAGTGCTGACCCTGGTTAAGCAGAGGCTTGAACATAGCTGCGTCTCGTATAGAACCAGCTGGCAGATGTGGCAGGCCTTGGCAGCCCAGATCAAAGGTTTTTATGAATGTGCTGAATTCAGTGCCAACTGAGTGGTGCCCCACCCGCTCCCGAGCTCCCCGCTGTACTGTGGCCTTCCAGCCAGGGACTTGCGGGGACTCGGCCATTTTCGCTGCTGGCCTGTGTTGGGTGAGGGATGGTGCCCTGGCACCTGCAGGAGTGAGACACCCCTGCGATATGTGTGGGATGCAGCAGCACCAGCAGCTTTTCATGGAGGCTGTGGAGAACGGTGGGAGGTCAGATGGGCCCGTGGGTGTGGAGAGTCAAGGACCATGGGCCCCAGATGGTGGCCTTTGCTTTTGTCCCTGGTAGTGGCCCTCTCATGTTGGTGAAGCCCACCCACATTTCCTGCACAGGCATGACAAAGGTTCTGGGGCCACATGCAGTTTCCTCAGCATTACGTCACGACAGGTTTCAAACATACAGCTGAGCTGAGAGGACTTTACATCACATACTCCTGTATCTGCCACCCCAGTCTTATCACCAAGAATCATTTATTTTCTCCCTCCCTCCCTCCCTCCCTCCCTTCCTTCCTTCCTTGTTTTCTTTTTTTTGATACCAGGGATGGAACCCAGGAGTGCTTCACCAGTGAGCCACATCTCCAGTCCTTTTATGTTTTACTTTGAGTCAGGGACTCGCTAAGTTGCTTAAGGCCTTGCTAAGTTGTTGAGGCTGGCTTTGAACTTTGCAATCTTGATCCTCCTGCCTCAGCCTCCCAAGCCACTGGGATTACAGGTGTGCACTTCCACATCTGGCCAGGAGCAATTTTCTTGAGGAAAAATTATTGAAGTAAAATTAGTCCAAGGCACGGGCTTTGTGTGTGCGTGCTGGGGAGGAACCCAGGGCCTGGTGCGTGCCAGGCAAGTGCTCTGCCACTGAGCTGCACTCAGCCTAGGGCACTGGCTGTGATGTGGTTCTCAGCATTGCTTTGTTATTTTGGCATCATCTTCCCTGGCTGGACGGGCACATGTGTTGCCAAAGGCAACAGGGCACAGAGGCCCCTGGACTTAGAATGGGATCACGTCCCAGTAAACTCCTTAGGCTGAAAATACATGTGTTACACCAAATCTATAGAGCATCCTGGGTTAGCCTCACCTGCTTTAAATGCTAAGGACGCTTTCCTGAGCCTGTAGCTGGTAAAATCGTGCGCTGAAGCCTGGTTCTGCTGCAGAGTGTTGAACATCCTGTGTAAGGCATCGAATATACTCTACAGAAGGAAACAAAGAGTGACTGTATGGGTGTGCTTCCACACAGTTGTAAAGTGGACAGCTCCAAGCTGAACCAGGCTAGCTGGGCCGGGGGTCAGCAGCATAGGTGTGAAGGCCTGCAGCTGAGCTGACCTGTGGCTGCTAACCTGTGTGTCTCTGCTCTTCAGGGTGGTGGTGAGGAGGTGCACAGCTCTGACCTTCACAGCCTCTGAGGAGAGGGTCTTGGTGGCCGACAAGTCTGGAGACGTCTACTCCTTCTCGGTGCTGGAGCCCCATGGAGGTGGCAGGCTGGAGCTCGGGCACCTGTCCATGCTGCTGGACGTGGTATGTAGGGGCACGCTGACTTGTCCACTCCAGCTGACGCCCTGGTAGGGCAGAGGCTGAAGGGTCTAAGGGGAGGAGCCGGGGCTCTCCCAGAGCAGGAGGAGCTTAGAATGGAATCGAGGCAGGTGGAGTGGTCAGCAGGATGGAAGGGGACCGGTGAGTTAGGAGGGGGTTGTGTGGTTCTAGACGTGAAGGACAGCTTCCTGGGGACTCCAACTTGGGATGACAGAGGGGAGGGAGGTGGGAAGCAGAGCAGCGCCATGTGTCTGAGGCCTTCTCCCAGGACCCAGCCCCGACCTGGTGTTTCCCAGCCATCTGGAGAGTGGTGGAGCTGGGGTGGACCCAAGGGGGGACATTGCGGGAGGGTGTGAAGGGGCACTCACTAGGACTCGGTGACTACTAGATGTGGGGACAGGTGAGAGGAAGGTAGGTGGTCTGGAAGTGGGGGGTTGTGCAGGTTGGGGTGGGTGGAAGAAGGGTTGGGTTTGGATGTTCCAGGATTAATTGCCCTTGTCTGGGCTGAAGGGCTGGGGACACTGGAGACCCATGGGGGGCAGGGGGAGCCCCAGTGATTTCCCTGTCTAGTTCCAGGCCTTGGTGGCTGGTGTGGGCCACAGTTTTATGCAGGCCTCAGAGGTGGCCTTCCATAGGGGACTAATGGGAGAAGACCAGGGGTCCTGTGGTACTGCGGAGTGGCCAGTGAGTGTCTCTCTGTTCTCTGACCCCTGGTGACACAAGGCTGTGAGTCCTGATGACCGCTTCGTGCTCACTGCTGACCGGGATGAGAAGATCCGCGTCAGCTGGGCTGCTGCACCACACAGCATTGAGGCCTTCTGCCTGGGGCACACAGAGTGAGTGCAGGGACCTCGGGCTTAAGGCAGATGAGTGGGGACCTGGTGGCAGAACAGCAGGGCCCCACACCTGGAACCACCGAAACCCCTTTGCCAAAGGAACGAGTTCTTCCTCGGCTGGCCCTACCCAGCTCGTGGCTGTCCTAGCACTCACCCAGTGAGGGCGCCCACGGATGCCCAGAGCGAAGGGACGTGTGAGAGGCATTGACTGCTGCCTTGTGTGCTGTCCCTCACCCAGTGTCCACGCTGCTGGTGAGGGGCCTTGTTTGGAGAACTCCTTCCTTGGTCAGTGCCCATGTTGGCCATTAAGAGCTGGGTGTTTTAGGGGACGAGGACCAGCCTGTCTTGCCTGGGGTGGACCCAAGCAGGACATTGTGGGAGGGTGTGAAGGGGCACTCACTAGGACTTGGTACCATAGATGTGGGGACAGGTGAGAGGAAGGTAGGTGGTCTGGAAGGTGGGGGGTTGTGGAGGTTGGGGTGGGTGGAATAGGGTTGGATTTGGAAGTTCCAGGATTAATTGGGGCACACAGAGTGAGTGCAGGCCAGAGGCTGGGTACAGTTTCATGAGACGAAAGCATTTAGCTGACTGCCTGGATGGCTTGTGTTCTTTCTGTTGGACGGAGCTGTCCCGAGCGCTGTGGCCTTGGGTAGTTGTCACCCCATATTCCAGCACCCTCGTGGTGCCAGCCTGCAGTGCAGTGTGTGGTGTGCAGGAGCCGCTTGATGGATCTCGGTGCGTTTTCAGTGCCTTAATAAGTGAACAGCAGTTGGCCTTGAACTTGATTTCCAGCCCGTGGAAGCTAGTCCTGCTCTTTGCTGCTGAGTGCCTGTCGGATGTGTGTTGGTGGGACATGTGTGCCTGTGGGATGCGAGGACCTGGGGGATGCCTGTTGGTGGGACATGTGCGTTGGGACATGAGTGCTTATGGGATGCTTGCCAGTGGGCTTTTTCTTCTTGGAGGACCTGAGTCTAGGAACTGGGTTCCCTGGCAGATGGCGCCCCTGGGCCCAGGCCAGGGTGACACTTGGAGAGGCTTTGTCTGATGGGAACAAGGAAGCGCCTGGGAGCCCTTGCCCCAGCGATCACTGGAGGGCACTGCATTAGAGGTGGGGAAGAGCAGGGAGCTGTCGGCCTGTGTTTGCCAGCAGAGGGGCTTCCTGGCCAGCCAGGTCGCTCAGGGCCCCCCGTGGCTCTTTGGATGGGAGAGTGGCTGCCGCAGTGAGTCGTCTGCTGGTGCAGGGTGAGCATGGTGACTGGCCGGGCCGCCCAAGGTTCTGATCCCTGGCTGCTTATGTCGGGGACCCTCAGGGTCTGATCTGTGGTGTGGTTCTGCTGTCTGGCCCCACAAGGGTGCCGGCATTTTGGGTAGAGGCAGGTGCTCAGGGAGCTGGTTGGGGTGCTGCCAGTCAGAGCCGCTGCAGAGGGACACGAGGTGGAGGTCGTTGCGTTGTGCGACCCCGAAGGACCTGGTGTCCTGTCCTGATGCCAGGGGCCATCACCTGGCTCTCCACAGCACTAGCCGTCCTGTGGGGGCTGAGGGAGGGTTCCCTTCCTGAGGTGAAGGGTGGCCTCTCGTCCCACTGTAGGTTTGTGAGCCGGATCCTCGTGGTGCCCAGCCATCCTGAGCTGCTGCTGTCCTCCTCAGGGGTGAGTGCCAGTGCCCAGCAGGTGCCCACCACTGGCTGCTGCTTGGGGAAGGTGGAGAGCCTTGGGAGCAGAGGAATTTGTCTCTGTCTGTGGTCCATGCATCCCTGCTCCCCCATGGTGTCCACTAGATGGCACTTGCTTTCTGCATCTTAAACTGCCCAGGGTTGCTCCTTGCCCACAGTCGCTCATTTGGGGCTGGGTGCAGTCTGTGGCATGTGTGGTGTGTGTGTAGTCTGGTTGGTGTAGTGTGGGAGGTGTGTGTGGATGTGGCTGTGGTGTGTGAGCGTCTGCATGTGTGCACACCTGGCCCCAGCACAGCAGGTCTGCGTTAGGACCTCCCGGCACATGGCGTCTGGCTGCCTTGGATTCCTATCCCATCATGCTGTGTCTTCTGGACACTCACCTCTTTTTCTTTTTTGGTACTAAGGATTGAACCCAGGGGCACTTCAACACTGAGCCACATCCCTAGCCCTTTTTATTTTTGTCTCAAGGTAGGGCCTTGATAAGTTGCTGAGGTTGGCTTTGAACTTGCAGTCTTCCTGCTTCAGCTTCCCAAGTGGTAGGAGGCACCATACCAGGACGGGTGGGCAGTGCTGCTGGGACATTTGCATCTTTACAGAGAACCTTTAGCTCACAAGGGCAGCCCTGACCCCCTGACCACACCCAGCTGTCTTCAGTGTCATGTAACCCCCTATCCCCGTCTCCCTCCCCGCCCAACACATGACTGGCTCTTGTGGAGCTGGAGGCCTGCTGCGACCCTGTGTGCTAAACTGTCTTTTTTTGCAGGACTGCACCCTGAGGCTCTGGGAGTACAGAAGTGGCCGCCAGCTGCAATGCTGTGACCTGGCCAGCCTGCAGGAGCCGGTGGAGCCTCAGGGCCCCAAGGTAGCTGCAGCACTTGTCTGGGTGATTGGGTGTGTGCAGGGCGTCTCTCCAGGTGCCTGCATTGTGTGCAAAGAGTTATCTGTCAGACACATCTTTGCTGTCAGTGCCAGCGTTCTTCCAGTTTGGGAGAAATCATGTACAGCATTTCTAATTCTGAACACATACAGTCACGTAGGTGGAAAATAAATTGTCTTACTTTGTGCATTCAGACAGCAAATGAGAGAAAAGCCTCTAGTCCCACTTGGAAGTGGAGAAGACGGTGGTGCTTAGTAAGGGGCCTCACCTTGGCTTCGTCGGTGGCAGGACAGGCAGCCCACCACAGTGCTCTGTCCTTTATGGTGTGTCTTGGCACCTGGGCTGCACCCAGGCACTCCATGAGATATAGATCACGTTCCCCAGTTGCTCTGCGTGAGAACAGGGTGGCGTGGCCTCTGCCCTGTGCTCTGCTGGCCAGGAGAGTAGTAAGCCTTTGCGAGCCTCAGGGTTCTGTCTTTGTTTCTGCCGTCTCCTGTGCTGGGAGAGTGGAGCCTGAGGGGCGGTGGTTGTGGAGTCGGGTCCCCTGCTCCTCCTCCCCTAGCTCTTGCAGCAATTCTTGGGCTTTGAAGGCGTTGCACATTCCTGCAGGTCTACTGAGGCCAAGGAGAAGCTCCTGCTGTCCCCGTGTTTGGAGTTGAGAGGACGGGGAGCCAGCTGCTCCCTTCTTTCCCACTGATTCCCACAGTGCTTGGGTGCCCACCCTGCCTTGCCTGCTGAGGCTGGGGAGCGGCGCCGGGGGCTCTGCCTTCCTGTGAGGGAGTGTGCAGCCTGCGGGGCGACACTGACTCAGAGCCGCTTTTCTCTGCAGAGGTTTGCCGCATCCAGGATTGCATTCTGGGCCCAGGAGAGCTGTGTGGCACTTCTGTGTGACAGGTAAGCCACAGTGGCTTCTCCGTCCCACAAGCCCATCAGGAGGGGAGGCAGATGGATTGCTCAGTGGTCCTGCCTGTGTCCTTGTGGAGGGGTGGGCAGTGCTGCTGGTGCAGCCCCGCCCCTTGTGCTCCCTGTGGCACGTGAGTCCTAGCGCTCTTGGTGGGCTTTCCACCTTGGAGCTTACAGGTCACCGTGGCCTCTGTGGTCTCCAGTCCCCGCCACTCAGAGCTGGTCCCAGTGGAGCCTGCCGTGCTAGGGTGGAGACATCACAGACACTTTTGGAGCTAGGACAGGTCTTCTGGTGCTTTCTACGTTCTGTATTTTGCCCTGTGACAAGTGTGGGGAGGCAGTCCTGGCTCATCTTGGGAATTGAGGGTGTAGGTTTGGAGAGGGGGGAGGTACTGCCCAGAGCCCAGGCTTCTGTGCACGGCTCTGTGGGTGGGGTGGCCATCCTCATTCTTTGTCCTTTGTCCTGTGTGGGTTAGTGCTTGCTGTGTAAGAAGTTGCCCCAGAACTCTGGGGCATGGACAGCAAAAGCCTGTCACCCCACAGGTGCTCGGGTTCCTCAGTTGGGGCTCTTGGTTGGGGCACCTCCCAGTGTTGGTCTTGAGGGTGGTGCTGTCGGGCGAGGGCTGAGCTGCATCCGTGTCAGGCCCCACAGGCCTGCGGTGCGGTCATAACCATCCTCTCTCTCCTGGAAAGCCTCCCTGTGGTCCTCATCTTCCATCTTGAGGCCAGCGGACAGCAGCTGGCGTTCAGACAGCAGTTGACTTTTCCACACCGGGTGTGGGATGTGGCGTTTGAGGAGACCCAGGGCCTGTGGGTTCTGCAGGACTGCCGTGAAAGCCCCCTGGTGCTCTGGAGGCCTGTGCGTGGCCAGTGGCAGGTGAGACTGAGCAGCCTGTGTCCAGGGCCCTCTGTCCTGTAAGACTGGGGCTGTGGGGCAGCCATGATTTTCTCATTGCCCTGAGCCCTTTGAGCCTGATCATGTCTGAGTCCCAGGCTGTGTCCCAGGGTGAAGGGAGCAGACGGCCAGCCCTGCTGTCCCCGCTGTGGTGTGGGCATGTTCTTGGGGCAGGGGTTGCCATCAGGGGTTTTCCCTGGGACTCCACGTCCTGGCCCACACATACTTCAGTCATGAAGCTGGGATAGCATTGTCTGTGCCTTGTGTGTGCAGGCTCAGTTATTGCTATTGGTGGGCACTTGGAACACGTGGAGCCCTGGGGCAGAGGACGGGGCGTGGGCAGTAGGCCTAGCCGCCTCCTTGCCCCGTCATGCCAGGGACAGGGAGGAGGGGGATCATGTCCTTGGCAAACTCCACGCTTTGCCAAAGCCCCTGGCCTGTACTGGAAGCACGAGCCCGCAGAAGCTGACTGGGAGGCCCAGTGCTGCCGGGGTGGCCCGTCCGCACCCCAGCCCCAGGTCCTGCCTCCCTGGCTTCACAGGGAGCTTCCTGGCACCTGCTTCCTGGCCTCCTTCTTGCTGTCGCCGGTGTCTCCCACCTTCTTATTGGGGCCTTTGTCACCTCTAGTCTGTTCCTGAAAGTGCTGTGTTACAGAGGCTGGCCAGTCATCTCCGTGGACACTGGACCATGTTGGAAGGTAAGAACCTGCAGGAGGCTGCTCATCAGGCCCTAGACCAGAGTGCAGGACAGGCTCACTGCAGTGGACCCCACACGCAGGCCGGCTTCCACACACCAGGCAGGCGTGGGGCAGTGCTGTGCTGAAGCAGGAGGCCCTGTGCTGGTGAAGAGGCTGTAGGCCAGTGGCCCATGCCTCTGCAGATGCAGCAGGGCAGTCAAGGCTGTGGGAGCCACATTTGCTGGTTGCCCTGGGGCCCAGGTGTAGAGGACACTGCCACAGTGTTGGCCACCTCTGTCTGCCCCCTGAGGCGCAGAACCTGCTGCCTCACCTGCCGGTGTTCCCTCATGCTTTTGTGGACCAGAGACTGAAGGTGGCCCTGTCTGCAGGACTGTTCAGACCCAGCCTATGTTGCTCAGAAGAAATCCTCCAAAATCAGTCTTTTCCAGTTGAAGTTGGGGTTCCTTAGAGTCTAAAGGGTTTGGACTTAAACATGGCTTTGGAGGTATTTGTGTGGCAGTGCCCTGAAGTGTCCTCTGTGAAGCATTGTGGGTTTGTGGGTGGCTTGTGCGCTGCCTCCCCACCTTTCCTTTGCTCTTTCCCATCCTGGCTGGAAGTTGAGGTGTGGACCCTGGCATGGTCTGGATCTACTTTAGCAGCATCTTCAATGGGCCCTATGGCTAACTGTGTGGGGACCCCCAGGCGCAGCTCAATGCCCAGCACCTACTGCCCCCTTGCCCTCTCGTTGTTCAGGGGCCTTAGCTGGCTCAGTCCTGTCCTGCTGAGGATCACCTCACATGGACTCAGGCCAAAGCCTGCCATCACTTTCTAAGGTGTTCTGTAGACAAGAATGGCCTGTTTGCCGGGTAGGGGTGGGAATGGTGTTGGGGAGGCCCACCTCGGCCTGAGCATCCCCAGAGCAGTGGCATTGCCACAGGACGCTAGCAGCCCTGCCTAGGTGCAGGGTGAGGCAGGACAGCCGCTGGTTACAGTCACTGAGTGCCCTGGGTGTCTCCTGGCCAGGAGAGACCATGCCTGCCAGGCTACACCTATGGCTGCCCTCAGGCCTCTGGACCACGGCAGGCCTTGGGCATCTGTGGCTGCATAGCAGATCATTCCACACTTGCCTCCCTAACACCATGTGTCCCAGTTGTCTTTCTGTGGGTCAGGGGTCTGGGCACAACTCAAGAGAGGCCTTGTAGGCTACAGTCAAGGAGCCGCTGTCTTGAGTCTACCCCGACAGGCCCACCCTGCTCGCTTCCTTGCTGTGAGTGGAGTTGGGTTCTCACATCTGGTGGCCCACCGTTCCCTGCCCTTTGGCCTTTGCCAGACAGCACACAGCCTGCAGGAAAGTGCCTTTGTGCCCTGGTTTCCCACGTCCACCCCTTTCCTTTTTGCCTCATTCTGTTAGAAGCAAGTCCCCAGGGTACAGACACCAGGAGGCAGGCATCATGGTGGCCCTCTCAGAATTCTGAGTTCTGACTCTTTGCATTCAACTGCTGAGTCCTGATGGGCATCTGTTTTTGTCCCCGTGACAGGCTCTGTTGGTGCTGCAGATGGCTTCCGCAGCCTGTACAAGGCCACCTTTGACAACATGACCTCCTACCTGAAGAAGAAGGAGGAGAGACTGCTGCAGCAGCTGGAGAAGCAGCAGCGCCGCAAGAGCCCTCCTCCAGGGCCCCCTGGAGGGACCAAAAAGGCCCGCTCAGGGCCGGCAGCCTTGGGCTGCTGACCTCTGTCTTGGCGGGGCTCCCCACTGGCAGTACAAGCAGCTCTTGGCCCAGCACCTCCCTTTAGAGGGAAGAGGTGGCAGCCAGGTCCCACTGGCCCAGTGGACAGTCTGTGGTCGCCAGGCTCTAGAGTGTCCTCATTGCTGGGTGCAGGCTCTTGCCTGGAGTCCGTTCCTCCCCACCGGGAAGCCATGCAGTGACAGCTGAGCTGGAGAGTCTGCACAGGGTGGTGGGAGTGCCTTGGGCACTGTGTCTTCCTTTTGGAGGAAATATACTACCCGTGGCACTGGCGGCTACTTTCTTGCTGTGTCCTCAGTGCTGTCTGCCAGGTGCGTCTTCCTCCTGGGAAATCAGGCACCTCCTGGCTTTCTGCCCTCGCAGTGCCTCCTCCTGGGTGCTGCCTTGCAGCTCCTCTGGGGTGCTGTCCCTGATTGACGTGTGCAGTAGCTGGGTGGTGAGTGGCTCTGTGCAGCGCAGCAGTGATGTGTCCCTGGGGGAGCTGGATGGCGCTGGCACAGGAGGGGACTTTGTTGAAGGCGTCTGTGGATGTGGCCCTGGTGAGGACCTCATTTCACAGGGAAGTGATTGGTGACGTGTGTTTTTGTGCCTATGACTTGGACTCTGCTCACTCTGCGGAGTGGCAGGGGGTTCTAACGAAGGGAAGCTTTTGTGGCTTCCTGCAAGTGTGTGGGGCAGTGTGTGGAGCTGGCCCAGGTGTGAGGTGGGTGCTGTGTGGAAGTCGTGTTTCTCAGTGCAGGTCGTGGCTGTGCCAGCCTGGCCACTGAACCCAGCTTCTGCCCACTTTCTGTGATTCTGTCTCAGACCCAGGCCCAGCGTGGGTGGGTGAGGACGTGGCCATTTAAGCAGATTTCTGCTGTGCACCAGCAGTTAGGAGCTTTGGCTTCTCCCCCAGTGCCCTGGTCTCCTTGGACCCCAGCCTGGAAGCAGCAGTGTCTTGGAGTAGCTGGGCCCACTCGCCTTCACGGGCAGGAGGGGCTGCTGTGTGGAGGGGCCGTGTCCTGTGTGCTGCAGGCCCTCTGAACAGGCCTGTCCTCAGTGGGTGGTGTGGAGTTCTTGGTGTAGGAGAAACTCGGGTGTGGTCTCCTCCAATGCCGGTGTTTTGGGAACCCTCTGAGCTTGCAGCCTCCCTTCTCCCTGGCCCCCCACCTTTTACGTTTTATTTTGATTCAGTGTCTTGCCAGGTTTCTGGGGCTGGCCTCAGACTACGATCCTCCTGTCTCGGCTGGTAATACCTGGGCTCTGCTTGGTGCTGTGGCAGCAGGTGTGGCAGGACCAGGAGCGCTAGCGGACGATTCTCGCCCCCTTGAGATCCTGTTTAAGTTGTGTGTTTAAAAAATGAACTGGTTTGCTTCTGGGAAATGCCTTTCCTGTTCACCTGGCTCCTCCTCCCAGCCAGAGTAGACACGGTCCTCCGTCCACGTTGTTCCAGCCAGCGCTCGGGTTGGTGGCCAGGCCCCTTCGGTGTCTGGTGAGGACTCACAGACACAGCTTCAGGGCAGTGCCGCAGAGCCATGGGCATGATGTGAGGAGAGGCTGCAGTCGGGCAGGACCACCCGTCTTCCCAGTGGTTGCTCTAAGTCTGATCCTTACCAAAGTCATGCACGTGGGTGACAGGCCAACGGGCATCTGTGGCCTGCTGTCTCCCCTCCCTTGGTTCCCGACCTTGTTTCTTTCTCCAGAGGCCATGGTGTTTGGTGGTATTCCCTGCCCGACACCCAAGTGACCCCCAGGGTCCACTCACTGGGTCACTCTCACAGAAGTTGCTGTACACACACTTGAGTGGTGCTGTCCACGTGCTCACGTGGATCCGAGTGCGCCTTTGCCCAGCGCTCGCTGCCTGGTTTCCAGGTGGGTTGGCCATGTGCCCTCTGGCACTGCCTTTCCCTCTCACAGGGCTGTCCTCTTGTCTGCTCAGTGGCTCTGGCTCACCTGGCCCCATGGCCAGGAGTGGCTTCCAGCTGGACCTCATATCCTGTGGGGTCCTGGGCTGGCTCCCTGCCTTTAGGGCCCCTAATTCCTAGCAGAATGGGGGCTTTATTCCAGCTGGCTCTGAGAGCCTGCGCTCAGGTGCTCCCAGATGTCCAGGAGTTTCTCCCGTGGGAGGCTGGCAGCACCCCAGTGCACATGCTCTCCGTAACCCTCACCTCACAGCAGCACCCTGCTGTTCCCTCCCCTGATGCCTGCTTGCTGGGCAGCTCGCTCAGATCCTGTCTGCCACCCAACCGCTTCTGCATCAGTTTCAGCACTTGTGTGAAGATTTGCCCTTACGCCCCTTAGAATTTTATCCTTTTTTCATCGTTCCTATTTTTTAAAAATTGTTTTTATTGTCAGTGGATCTTTATTTTATTTATTTTTTTCTGTTGCTGAGGATCAAACCCAGTGCCTCACACATGTGAGACAAGTGCTCTGCCATTGAGCCCCAGCCCCAGCCCCAGCCCATTTCTGTTTTTTAGTTGGTATGTGTTTACTTTTGGGGACAACTCCTTTCATTGATTAAAAAACGTGGTTATCATATTGAGCCCTGCACACTTGGCTTGTGTTTTCATTTTGACTGTGGAGTGTGTGGGGTGTACAACTGAAAAATGTACAGGAAACACAAATGCTGAGACCCCCGTGTCCCCTCTGGTCACTGCCCTGACACGTGCCAGGCCTGTGGCCTGTGGGTCATCCCCTGCTGCCGCTCTGATTTCTCTGCTGGCCCTCTCTGGGAGTCATCCACGTGCCACAGTGGTCATGGGTTGTTCCTCCTGCTAGTTAAGTGTTGTGCTGTGTGCTGATGCTATGGTGTGTTCATTCTGTTGAGGGACATTAGGATGGTTCCCAGTTTAGTCTGGTGAAGTGCTGTGGTGCACGCTCTAGTACCTGTCGTTTGGCACACAGAAGCGTTTCCATTGCTATCTGTGGGAGATTGGTTCTAGGACCCCGTCCCCCGCCCACCAAAACCCCACAGTCTGTAGATGCATGAATCCTGTGTGTACGATGGTATTTGCACACAGCCCCGCACATCCTCCTGTGCTCAAAGCGCCTTTACCTTACTCACAGTGCCCATGCAGTGCCCGTGCAGGTATGCAGTTGCTCTGCCATGTGGGTTGGGGAGCGACGATAGGCAGGACCCTGTGCAGGTGCGTTACTGGCAGTTACTCCCCACCACGTAGTTTTGAGTCCACACTGGCTGACCCTGTCTGCAGAGCCTGTGGGTGTGGAGGACGACTGCACCTAGGAGTGGACTCGCTGGCTGTGGTCACTCAACGTGTGTGGTTTAGAAGACAATCCACCTGTGCTAGTTCACATCCTGACCACAGAACGTAGAGTCAGGTATGCTCACACTCAGCTTTTGAGGTTGACGATGCGAGATGGGCCTTGAAGTTCCGTGTGCTGAAGTGTTCTTTTACCAGAGCACAGATGTGGAATTATGGACTGGTGGGCGGAGCCCCGCGGAGTCCAGACCTGAGCTGAGGTTCTCTGCTGTGTCACTCAGTTTGGGTTACTCACCTGAGGGAAGTCAGCCTCGAGGTCACACTCCAGTGGTCTACAAAGAGGTTGCTGTGTGAGGATTTGAGGCCCCTGCTGGCACCCATCTGGGAGGCCACCGTTGGCAGGGGCTCCTGCGGTCTCCCACAGCCTGTCTCTGCCGTCCCGATTCCCTGTGGCTTCTTTGGTGTGTGGCGTGTGGGTCTTTGGAGGTGTGGCTTACCAGCCAGTTGTTTGGTTTCCCACTTCTCTCTGTTCTGTCTGCGTTATGAGCTCACAGTGGGCCTCACCCCGTGCTCCGTTCAGACTTGACCACGCTGGTCACTGCACGAGTGTGTGAGAGGAGGGTTCCCCTGTCTCGTCGCGTCTGGAGGCTTCTAGCAGCGGGAGGGTAGGATTGGCCACATCTGCCTGAAGAACATGCTTGGCGCTTGGTGTGTTCACAGCTGTCAGTTACAGAAGCCTTGCTTACTGTCCTGGTCTGGGTTTGGATTTGGGTGCTGTTCCATCGTGTGAGCAGTTCTCCTGACATTGGGTGCACACAGACCTTGTGTGTCTCCTCACCCATCACGAAGCAGCCTGTGACTCGGCTCGGATGTCCTTCTGGAGTGCGTCCCCGCTGCAGCTGGCCTGTGCTTGCTCAGCGGGGTTTCCTTCTTTATCCCTTTGCTTTCATCTCTGTATTTAATGTGGGTTTTTCCTGGTTTTGTCCCCAATATTGGATTTCAGTGGAATGGCAATCTGAGCCACATATGAAATCTGCAACACTCCAGGACTCCCTGTGACAGCCTGACCTGACCACTCCCTGGCAGACCATGTCCCACCTGTGTGGTCACTCCTCGCTGGGGGACCTGGGCACTTCCTTTGACTCCGTCAGGAGGGGACACTGGAGGCCGTCTGGTTCCCCCAGGCTCTCTTTGTGTGCCTTTCCCGCTGGCTGTTCCGCCTCCTTTCCCTGAAAGGCGCCTGTGTGACTGAGGACCTGTGAGTCCCAGCACCTCCCGGAGCCAGCTGGTCCAGGACTCTGACTCAGGGCGCACATTTTGCTTTTCTGGGTGTTTAGGACTCAGGACTCGTTATGTTTCTTGTTTCCAGTGCCATCCCAGACCACAGGCATTGCCACACCTGGCGTTTAAGTTAGAATCACTTTTTTTTTAGTGATTACATTTAAAAATTTATTTTTAAAAAATTTGAGTTGTAGCTGGACACAGTATCTTTATTTTTATTTTATTTTATTTTTTTTTAAAGAGAGAGAGAGTATTTATTTCTTAGTTTTTCGGCAGACACAACATTTGTTTGTATGTGGTGCTGAGGATCGAACCCTGGGCCCCATGTGTGCAAGGCAAGCGCTCTACCACTGAGCTACAACCCCAGCCCAAGTTAGAATCTTTAAATGGAGTTTGAAATCCAGCTTCTGTGTCACACTGGTGACTGCTGCCAAGTCGGATGGAGAACATTTTGATCATCATGGAAGGTTCTACTAGACAGCCATGTCTTAGTCTCTGACCTTTAAAAAGGGGAAAGCGGGGAGAGTTCACACTCCTCACATTGCCGTTCCCAGCGCCTGCCTTCCCCTTGCATGGCCCCGGGCCTCCCTGTCGGGTGGCTCTCCTGACTGGGAGCGTGTTGTGTCTGCTGTGGTGCAGGTCAGCTCTTAGGAGGCTTCTTGACTTTTTTTTCTTTCTAAAAATACTTTGTCTAGGATGGTAAAGCCATTGAGGTGCTGGTGCTTCTACATGCTGTAGGAAACGGCACGGAAGGCCATGTCTCTGAGCCTGTGTCCTTGGGAGTGCTTATGGCTGTGCTGTCCTGCTTCTCGGGGTTGCACCTGTGTGTGATTCTGGTCCCGTGTGCTGTTTTCACAGTGTAGAGTGGTGAGGTGTTGCCACGGTCAAGATGCACAGCGGCTCGTCACAGGTCCCTGGTTCTGCCACAGGGCTGCGGACGCTTCCCTCCCTCTGCCCTGCCCCCACAGCCAGCGTCTTTCTCCTTCTCTGTGATCCGACCGTAGGGAGGCTGTCTGAGTGGGGCCTTGCAGGGTGGCCTTGAGTGGCCCTGTGCTGTGTCGTTGTCAGCCTCAGCACTTGGTTCCGTTGGTTCCAGTGCAGCTGTGGCGCCCAGCTGCGTCGGGGGTTTGGCTGCTGCTCGTGGAGCAGGTGAGGACGTTCCTGTGCCCATCGGTTGGGTGTGGGGGAGCAGGTCCCCGTCTCAGGTGGTGGGTGCTGAGCGCGCACTCTGCCCTGAGCAGCTGCACCCTTTTCCCCCACCCCATGGCCTGCCCTGTCGCAGCTTCTCTGCGTCCTGGCCAGGGTCCGAGGTCATCACCTTTTATTTGGCCCTTCTGATGCGCGAGTCCTACGCCTGTGGTGACTCTCGTTTCCATGGTGGCGCGACGGGGACCGTCTTCTCAGGAGCTTACTTGCTGTGTCTGTTCTCCTCGTGTCTTGCAGTGTTCTGTCTGGAGTGGACCTTGCTCTTGGGTTTTGAGGGTCATCTTCAGGCCCTTTGTCAGGCCTCTGGTGTGCACATGTTTTCTGCCAGTAAACAGTTTGCTCTGTAACCCTTCTAACCCAGGGTCTTTGCCAAGCATGCATTGTGAATTTTGATTCAGCAGTTCATTAATTTTTCTTGTAATGAGTTGTGCTTTTGATGTCAAGGGTAAGGACTCTTCCTAGCCCTATGTGGCACAGAAGTTCTGTTACAGAAGTTCTATTATAGTTTTAAAGTTTCATGTTCTGTATTTCTTACGTAAGCCCCCATCCGTCCTGAGTTGATTTGTGTAAGTTCTGAGGCTCTGTCTGTCCTCTGACAGACAGGACCAGCAAGACATTTCATTGCTCCCCTGCCTCTGCCCTGCTCAGTGTCTGCAGCAGCCTCTGCTCTGCCAGCGCCTTGCTCTGGGCTCCTGTGCGTCCTTTTTGCCCTGCTCTGGTATCCTGGAGCCAGCCCTGGTGCACTTTGCCTGTTGGTGCACTGCCAAGTGTGTCACCAGAGTGAGCTGGAGGAGCTGCAGGAGGGCCTGGTTCCACGGAGCACAGCTGCACAGCGAGGGGAGCACGCCACCCACCCTGACGGAGAGGTGCAGCAGAGTCCTCCCTCCAGACTCTTCCCTTCTGATGCCCACGCCTTCTTTGTTCTGTCATCGTGTCTTTGATCCTGGCCACTTTTAAGATTTTTTTCTCTTCATCCCTGCCTAACTGTGATTTGATCTATAAGCCTTGAGTGTGTGTGTATCTTACTTGTGGGTTAGTGAAATTTGTTAAGTTTATTATTTTTATGAAACTTAGAAAACTTCCAGTGATTCGGCTGCCAGTGCCCCCCACCCCTACTCCCACAGTTCCAGCCCCTGTGTAGACGGCTTGATCTGACCTACTTCCTCGTTAGTGGATCTCTCAGGTTCCTCAGGCTTTTTTCTGCAAGTGTTCATTTTGGTGGATTCCGCTTCTGCATCTTCAGCCTGAGGGTTTCCTGGGAGGTTGGTCTGTGTCCCTTTCTCTTCCTGTCGTAGCCATGCTTCCACGTATTCTTGAGCACGTGGAGCACGTATAAGGTAATTGTCTCCTTTTCTGCTCACTCGTAGTCTGTGTCGTATCTAGGTCAGTTTCTGCTAGTCTGTTGGTTTCCAGGATGCGCTTTCCCACTGCTGAGAGTCAGTGGGGTCTGACGTGGGCTTCTTGCAGGACATGGAGTTTCCTGTGGTCCCCCCACCCTCACCCCCCGGCAGGCAGTGAGATGCTTGGTGCTTGGTCTGGTCGCAGGGTTTGTGTGTAAGCTCATTGGGGTGGGACTGGAGTAGACTTTCCCAGGGGACAGTCAGTCCCCTTCTCAAGGGTGGCCCTGCTGCTCCCCACTGAATGTCCCCGTGCTCAGGGACGTCTGCCTGGCCTGTGTAGTTCTGGGAGTTGACCGTTAAGCTCCTGGGAATTGTTCTTTTTTTAAAGTTGCTCTTTCTGGCCTGGGAGGAGGTTCCTTGTGTGCAGGTTGCATTCAGACCCCTAACACGTCTCCTGTACCGCTTGCTCCCTCTGTTCAGGTGCTCTGCCCAGCTTCGGGTG